ACCGCTCAGCCTCCAGACGATAGGTGAGACCCCCTGCCCGCTGAATTGGGGGGGATGTCATGGTTTTGGGGGTGTCCTCCCCAATGATGTTACATCTCTGTGATGTCACCCCCAGCTCCCCCCCTGCCTCATCCTCGGAGAGTTCGTCCACYCGGGATTCAGCTGGAGCCATTTCCGGGTCCGACTCACGGGGCATCCTGGAGGAGCCGCTGCCGTCCACCAGCAGCGAGGAGGAGGATCCGCTGGCCGGTCAGTGACCCCTCTGTCCCCCTCTGGCCAGTCAGTGACCCCCCCTGTCCCCCTCTGCCCGGTCAGTGACCCTCCCCAGTTGGTGAATGACATCCCCCTGTCCCCCTCTGCCCGGTCAGTGAACACCCCCTGTGTGTCCCTCAGGCCTATCAGTGACACCGCATGTCTTCCTGGAGGTTTTGGGGATTGCTGCGAAGTTTCAGGGGGTCCCTGAGGGGTTTTAAGGATGTCTCTGATGGTTTTGAGGTGTCCCTATGGGATTTGATGGTGTTCTCATGTGTCTGGGATTTTAGGGTGTCCCTAATGGTTTCACGGTGTCCCTGATACTTTTAAGTCTGTTCCTGGGGGTGTTTCAGGATCTCCTTGCATTTTTTCAGGTGTCCCTGGGTGTTTTGGGGATTCCTCCTGTGTTCAGGGCATCTCTCAGGGGTGTCCCTGGGTGTTTTCGGGACTCCCTCTGTGTTGGGGGCGTTCCCCAGGGATGTCCCCAACTTGTCCCCGCTGTCCCCAGGGATCAGCCTCCCGGAGGGCGTGGACCCGTCGTTCCTGGCAGCGTTGCCTGATGACATCCGGCGGGAGGTGCTGCAGAACCAGCTGGGGATCCGCCCGCCCGCGCGGGCCCCGCCTGCCGCCAGCCCCGCCCCGCCCGTGGTGGCCAACCCCGGCCTCACCGAGGTCAGCCCCGAGTTCCTGGCGGCGCTGCCCCCGGCCATCCAGGAGGAGGTGGGCATGGGTGTGGCTGGGTGGGGCCGAGGGAGGGGTGTGGTCATGGGGCAGGGCAGGGATAAGGGAGGGGTGTGGGCATGGAGTGGGGCTATGGGATGGGTGTGGCTTAGGGGCGGGGCTTGGGCACAGGTGTGGCTGTTCTGGGGTGGGGCTAATGTACAAGAGTGTGGCCTCAAGGTGGGCTTAAGTGGGTGTGGCCTGTTTTGGGTGTGCAGTCGTGTCCCATCACTGTCCCCATGCAGTCCCTGTGTCCCCTCACTGTCCCCCTGTCCCCATGTCTCCTCACTGTCCCCCTGTGCCCTCACTGTCCCTCTGTCTCCTCACTGTCCCTCTGTCTCCTCACTGTCCCAATGTCTCCTCACTGTCCCCATGTCCCCTCACTGTCCCCCTGTCCCCACAGGTGCTGGCGCAGCAGCGGGCGGAGCAGCAGCGGCGGGAGCTGGCTCAGGCCACGGGCTCGGACGCGCCCATGGACCCGGTGACGTTCATCCAGACGCTGCCGTCCGAGCTGCGGCGCTCGGTGCTGGAGGACATGGAGGACTCGGTGCTGGCCGTGATGCCRCCGGACATCGCGGCCGAGGCGCAGGCGCTGCGGCGCGAGCAGGAGGCGCGCCAGCGGCAGCTGATGCACGAGCGCCTCTTCGGCCACTCCAGCACCTCGGCGCTCTCGGCCATCCT